GACAAATAGGTGAAAAGAATTGGATTTGGGGGGCCCGGTATTTTTCCCACTTAATTAATTACCCTTAATTCAAAATCGAGCGCATTTTTCAAAAATCCCTAAGACACGATTGTCGGGAAAGCCGTTACAGTCACTTTGAGCAGATTTGAACGAGTTTTGCAGACATGTCATCTTGCCCTAAAGTAGGGAGTGCGATATTCATACTATGAATAGAAAGGAAATAGCACACAGCATTCAGAACAAATCCAAGATTCCCAGTATTCTTGGTTTTTGTGAAATGTATTTCTACTAGCCTGACTAAATCTGCGGCCTAGCAGGGCGGCTGGTGTAATACCGGGCCGGCCGCTAGGAGCGCAGATTTAGGCTATATTTCTACAGCAAGAACAAGAATTCCCGTCGCGGCACTCTCTTATTGCAGCGAGCCAACAACATGTCTGAGCTCCGTCTTAAAAATGAACAGTAGTGATGTAGATGACATACATAAGGTTATAAATTATACATGTACAATCCAAACAACAATATTAGGAACAAACATTGCTATTATTACATTTCGTTTCTCTTCCTGACCACAAGTCTGCCATAGGTGATGACTGCACAGTCTCCGCGTTGTCGCACAGCTCAATGGTACAAGTTCATGATCAGCACGCCGTTTTCGCACTAGTTCGGAAAAGTCTTCGTTGATGAATATGGGTGTGTTCTTCAAATGCGATCTAGCTCTACTGAGAATGAGCTGCTTATTCTTGTAGCGCAAAAGCTTTACGACTGCTTGTCTTGGTCGTGTGGAATCTCTTCTGCAGGGGCCATTTCTGTGCGCTCGCTCAATTCCGATTGTTTTAGGGACTAGTTTCAAGTTCTTGGATAGGATGTTAGGCACCTTTTCTTCTGACTCCGCCCAGGTTTCATTGTTACTGTCGCCATCTACTCCGTCCATGATGATATTGTTCCGTCTGATTTTCTAAGTAGTCAATTGTCTTGGAGAAGTCTGGCATATCTTGAGATGTTGGCATCTTCACTGACTCTACAGTGATTTTCAGTGTATTAACGTCAGAGCGAGTCGATTTCAGCCTGAGAGTACTGCAGTGATGTTTTCAGTTCTTGCACTTCTCGCACGAGGGCGTCAATACGATTATTTGCAGAGTCCATCAGGATTTGTGTAAAGGATTGGAAAATTGCTTCTTGTCTTTTTAGGAGATCCTCATAGTGTGTTCTGTTCTGTTCCATCATCTCTGTCATTACTCCGACAGACACAACATCGTCTTCCGTCTTACTTTTCTGACGGCGCGGCATGGTACTTGAAAAAACTTGAATGAGTGTGTATTTTAGAACGAACTCACCGTTTTCCTTTTTGTGGCCTTGAGTTGGAGAGTTTGGATGTAGAGTTGATTTCTAGAACGACGTCACAGTTATAGTCGCACACCTGGGAATTCGATTTTCCCCGGAAAACGAATGGTACTGCAAAATAAAACAGAGGGAGGGGCGGCAGCGAGAATACTCGAAAATATTTGTTTATTTGTTTATTAAAATGCGTGGAGGGGGAGGGAGAACAGGTGGGTCAACTTTACCAGCTCCTCCCCCTAATTACATCAATAAAAAGCATTCTAAAACAACATTGGAATTAAACACATTGTGAGAGTAATACCTAAACATACATACAAAAATATGGACATGTAATACATGAATATCAGATATTATTCAACGTAGATATCAGCGCGGTCTTAATGCTATGCATGTCCCACATCTGCAAGCCGCAGACCATGTACATATGATGTTCTGTGTCAAATTTGTCAAAGTCAAAGCCTTTACATAAGTACTAGGTACTGACCGACAAGGGTCTCCATTCGTTGATTTTTAAGAATTCCGTAGCGGAGGATGTACAGAGATTGACGCGGCGTCCTTCTGTGTTTCCATGGCGTCTCCCTGGTGACGGCTGGTTTCAGCTTTAATACTTGTAAAAAATCTCCGGGGTAGAAATGGTGATCTACCAATTTTTCTGCATCAGGCTGTTCTTAAGCACTTCAAAGTTAAGATTCGATGTCGATTTAAGGATGATGCCGAGTTTGTTGAAGGGTTTTTAACGTTTTGTATGAGGTCACTCAGCTCAGAGGCGATGAGAGAAGCTTCTAATCTAAGGGGATACCCCCCTAACTCGGCCATCACCACAAGATTACAAGACGATTTTGGAACAAGGACCGTTTACAGAATTTTAGGTGGACGGCTTCAATTAAAGAGGATTTAGGGATCATGAGATAAGGCCACATCGACTTGATTTTACGAGTGACATCCGCGCGCGCATTGATTTTCGCCTGTCGTAAAAAAAAAAAAAGATCACATCCTCCGAGGCTCTGGCCTGGCTCTAGGCCTGGGTAGTCCATGGTAGTTAGCGACAATAGGGAGTAGACTCAAGATCTCGGTACAAACGTACAGTGCCGATTCATAACCTCCGGAAAAAGCCATGCACCGGCTTGTCGTATACGTCGCTACCTACTAACGCAAATTCACAATACCAGCTTTGTATTCCTGTGGTTTAGTAGCATTTTGATATTTTTGGCTGGAAATTCTTTTATTCGCCCGCGGGATTTTTCTAAATATCCAAATAAAGATCAGCGTATGGTAGCGGAGAACTGGTGACTATACTGTCATGCCTATAGGTATTTTAATTTGTGTAATCAGTCTGCCCTGTACGCTATTCATCTCTTTCTTTGGGTTTTAATTTTATACATGCAAAATCGGATTGGGTCTCAACCAATCGAAGGCAAGATGTTTGCTGATACATACTTAATATGTATTCATGGCTGCCTTGATTAAAAATACGCCGTACACATTTCTAAGCGCTCAGACCCAGTCCGTCCTTCAGCTGCCCAGGAGCCTGACAGGTGCCGCCATGTTGGGACGACAGAAACAACCCGATGCTCGAGAGACGGCCAAAGGAGGTAGCGTGTCCTTGTATAACGTGGAAAAATTTGTCGCCTATTTTTTGTCAGAAGACTTGTCAGCTTTATCGTTCCTTTCTTAGGAGTGTTGCATTTAGTAGAATGATTTTAAATTTAAAATTGAGTTATATGTATTATTATCTAGTTTAAAATACCTAGAATGATCTTAAATTCAAAATCGAGTTATATAATATTTCCAACCAGCCCCCCAGCGGCCCAGCCCGGAGCCGCCAGTAGTGCGTCCACCTCTCAGTCGGTGCAGCCCCAGGCAGCTCCCGGACAGCAGGGTTCGAGGCCCGGGGGACAGGCGT